TATAACAGTAACTGTAATGATGTAGATACCTGTAGTCTACTGTTTTAACTGAATATTTTATTGTTCAATACAGTCTCACCAGTAGTGCAGGTAGTATCTACACCATTACAGTTACTGTCATGTTCCTGTAGTCTACTGTTTTAACTGATGATTTTATTGTTCAATAGTCTCATCATTACAGTTACATTCATATCTACACAATCTCTTCAGTGTTGCACATAGAATGTGTATCAATATTAATTATTGGTAGATATATTTGGCCATCTTAAATGAGACTAAAAGGTGCATGATAAAGCCTGTACATTTTTAAAAGAACAAACATTTGTATTGTCACTGAAATAAGTATAATTCCAAAGAAAACAGTGAAGATTAATCCCCATTTCTTTTGAATGAGTGAGAGCAGTTAAGAATTCCCATTATTCTAGAGTAAGAATGCACTAAGTGAAGTACAAACTCAAAAATTCACAGTACCATTAAAATGAAAAAATATTGATTTATTTTTAATATTCTGTCAGTTTTTGTGAAGTGCAATTTAAAAGCAGTTCACTACAAAAAAAAAGAAAAAGACTGAAGTAGGTGAAGCAGACGTTTATTAATTTAAAATCTTGGTGTGGAAGAATAATTGAAAGTACTATTTTACTTTCAAAATGTCACATGGACAAGTAATTGACAAGGTTTTATGTATAGACACAAGTGACTTTTATTAAACCTAGTACAGATTATGTTAAACATATCACCACAAAGAAACTTGCTATGGTTACTTAAAGATAACAGTGTCTAGCATTGATCCTAAACATTGGACAATATTGGAGGTCATAAGCACATCAACATTCTCTTCGAGATGCCTTTTTGGATCCTAGATAAGAAAAATTGGAGTTACATTAACCCTTTATCATCTCCACCCATACATTTATAGTGAAATCAGGTTAACTTATTGTTACATTAACAGGCACTATTTAATTCTTCATGGTCACATCTAAGTAAAGCACTCTGAAACAACACCATTGTGTACAACGATCTAACTGTATCTATAAAAAAGTTTATCAATAATATCTTGCCTTCTGTTATATATTTTGAACAAAAATAAGTTACCTTCTTTCCAACATTTTTAATGGCGAGTTGTTCAGGTGTTAATTTGTCTTCTTCTTCTAGAGACTGAGAAAAGTGACATACAGTTAGATTCAGACAGAATTCATATTAAAGTATGAAACATCAAAGCATGTTCATATTCTACCTGGCAAAAAAAAATATAAAAAACACTAAACACACACACGCATTCGGATTTAGCTATAAAACATGTATAAACCAACTTAACACATATGACTGGTAATCGGTTACAACAATTATTGTAATGTTTGCTGATAATCTGCCAAATTTCATTAATATTTACTTACTAATTTAAAAGTTATAGCATGAAAATTATAACAAGAACAAAATGGTTACGAGGTCAGTACCAGGAACCAAGCCCATGCTGAAAGAGTTAATACTTGGTTTCCATTTTAAAACTGTTTAGAGAACAGCTTCAACAGCATTCCTTCTAACAATATTTTTGTTAACGAGCTCCACGCAGTACGTACATTATTTTGAATCTCGTTGTATTCTAACCCTTTTTTCTATGTAACAGTTTAAACTACCTGATGAAGGGCTTATGCCCAAAAATTTTGCAAATAATTATAAAGTTTTCGTTATATACTCATTTACCAATTTTGAACACTTTTTTTTTTCACATCTTGCAGTCTTTTCTACTTTTTTTTTTTTACCAGTACAATGTTTACAAGGATGTCAGAGATAAAATCCTAATAACAACCTAGTAATGCTTTAACCTCATTACTAAGTTACTGACTATTTTATCAAATTAACACCGAAAACTGATTTGGTTTGATGAAACCTGAAGATTTATATGCAGTTAGCAACTTGTGGTGAAGTACATTACTTAAAAAAAAATAGTTGAAAATATACTCTTAATATTTATGTGTTATAATTTATAAAAGTCTGAGCATGTGCCTACACATTTAACAACTTTAAATATTGTCTGGTCTTGAAACGGTACTTACCTTGTTGTAAATCATGGTACATACCTTATTGTAAGCCTTAGCAAGATCAAGCATTTCTGTCACCGTCTTTTCATTGAGCTGGCAGTGCTCATCGTAATCAGAAAGAGTTAACCCATCCATCCAGCTTTTCTTGTGGAGATTAAGAAGCATCTGAAACAGACCAGTTTCTTTAATCTGATCTCAGAAAGTGATACATTTCAAGCCATACAAAGTACACTCAATTAGGTTTCTTTAATCTTACCTCAGAAAGTGGACATGACATTCAAAGTTTAATTAAACCACATCATTATAAATTTACATCAATAAACTTAGCATCAAAACATAGTTAATAATTCAACTTTAAATATTATATAAGGCATCAAAACAGTTAATAATTCAACTTTTAATATCATGTAAGTTTAAAAGGAAATATTTAAATAATTCTCAATGTTCACTTCCATGTACCACATGTTCACTACAAATAGACCACTTGAACATTCTTTCCACCCCAGTTTTTCTGAATCACAAAGTTAAAAGTATAGATAGTGCTGATACATGATCTAATATTATAGCTTTCAATCATTTTGATTTGCAGAAATATAAACTGTGTCATGCCCTCGTATTACATACTGCCTTTCAAAAATGGCATTAATTGTCTCTGACCTTTGCCATTACATTATTTAAAAAAAAGAATATTTTAATTTACTGAATTAGGTACAATGCTAGCTTGTTCTTGTGACAGCTTTTGAATAGTTCTGCCTATAGGTTCAAAGTTTCTAGTTCAACTTGAACATAGTCAAGGAATTCTTTTGTTGCACTCATAGTTTAGTTAGAAACCCACTAAAATTATAATAGTTACAGGACACCTTATGCTTTGCCAATGTTGTTTTTTTATGTTCTCAACTGAATATTTGAAATAAATAAATTCATTTAAAACACTAACAACAACCCTACAAAAAAGGTTAACTTTTACTGACAATTTAAGTCTTCAACTCAACAAGACCCAAAGATAAGTACTAAATTTCTTGTTTCTGTATGTACATATTGTTTTACTAGTAACTAAAAAGTAAAATTAGAAACCTGTTAGATTAGACAGGAAACCAAAAAAATTAAAAATAAATTAATTTCTCTGCAAGGTTCATGCATTACCAAACCCGATACCAACACTTTGAGTTCATTGGATTATTTCTAGCTTATTAAATAGGTTTAATAGTTACACAAAGTTTCTCAAAGAGAAATAAAACAATAAAGGAAATCATTACGAGGCTATTAACAATAAATATTTGTAATTTTTTTGTTACAATCTCCATTCATTCTCTAAAGAAAAATAGTAATATAGATTTATTTCATATATTTGGCAATGGTCACAAGATTAGTCAAAGGGACTGAGCTCGTACAGTGTTAGGGTAGATAAAATATAGTTTTTCTGAAAAAAAAATTATACTCATTTACAAGGTTCTAGATGTTATGCAACATAAATCTGAAAACTGTAAAATGAAAAGTATTTTTAGTCATAACATGAAAATCACCTTACACTCAGACTAGCCAGAATCTGGTTCACTCTTTGATAAGTCTTTAGTAAAAATACTTAATTTAAAAATAGGATTTTTTTTTATACAAAATTCCTGTAACACTTACTACAGGATTGCAATATTTCATGAAGATACTACATCAGTTATAGTATGTACAGTTTTGTGGTTGCAAAATTAGTCAAAACAACCAAATTTGTATATCACAAACTGTGTATCATTCTCCATATGAGAGAAATGTCAAATGGGCATATCCCAAAACCATACGGTTAACAACATATATAAATAGTACTATAATCACTGCCAAAAACATAAAAACCAATACATAAGATTTCTAAGATACAGGCAGTTAAATTCCTTCCTACATTAACTCCCTTTTCGAAACAGTAACACAACTCAACCAAAGATACATTTTTCAACTGTTAGTTACTTCTTTGGAACCAATATCATCTGTTTTACAGCAAATAGTGTTAAAATTAATAAAACAAAATCATGAACAAATCAATACTACAAACAAAGGAAAGACATCGTTTAGAGAGCATGAACAAATCAACAAAGAAATATCGCAGTCAAAGAAAGTACATACTAATCAGGTTAGTATTACATTTCTAGTATCTCTTGTGTAGGTCATGGCTAACTATGCCTCAAAACTTGTAGTTTGACTAATTGTAAAAGGCTGACCTTTAGCTAGTTAGGTATTACATTTGTAGTCTCTTGTGTAGGTCATGGCTAACTATGCCTCAAAACTTGTAGCTTGACTGCCCATAAAAGGCTGACCTTTCTTTATCAGTTTTAGCCATCTCTAAGTATCAGCCAATCGATTGAACTATAACTGCTGCTGGCTTCAGGCATGTTCATCAGTTAAAATCCTTCTCTGAATGTCAGCCAGTCAAATGAACAAAAAGTGCATATTTGTGTTTTAAAGTTTGTTGTTCATCAGTTGAAGTCTTCTCTTGACATCAACCAGACAAATAGAAAAATATTTAGTGAACTTTATTTAAAAAAACAAAATCTTGGAAGTTCAGTAAATGTAACACATACACTTTTAATGTAATTTACAAGGAACAAATGAAGAATATGTATAGGTTCCCTACAAAAGAAATACCTCTGTTACACCAGAGGTCTCCAAATTACAGCCTGTGACTTCGGTTTATCCGGCCTGCCAACAGTTTATTAAAGTAGTAATATACTTTTGTAATATTATAAAAATATAATTTAATTGAGCAAAAGCCAATATGATCATGTATGCATCCACACTTAATTTTACCATGACCCCTCCGGCCTGTTAAACCATGAAAAGATCTACCTTCCAGCCGTTGTACAAAAAGGTTTGAAGACCCCTGTGTTACACTAATTAAAATTCCACCAGTGATCATAAGAAGTTCTAATTACGTGACATCACGGAAATAAAAAACCCGATAAATATACAAGTCTCCTCAATATATTCAGCACATTGGGGCTTATATAATTTATTAAAAACTAAATACATTATGATACAAAGTAGGAATAGTCAGAGAGTTAAATGTTATACACCTATATACTACATTCAAAACTATTACAGGGTTTTATTTTTACAAAATAGCCTACCTTCTGTTCAAGTTCATTCTTCCTGTAGTTGATAGATATAGAATAATAATGCCTGTTTAGACCATGAATGAGAGCCTGAAAAACAGAAACATACACAATCACACCCAATACAACAGCTGGAACATTCAGTACATCATAACAATATTCTACCAATCAATTCCAAATAATAACTGAAACAAAACACTCCCACCTGTATGGAAGGTTTAGACAGATGTCCTAAGTTGGAGGTAGTCTGACGAGGTTCTTGTCCCAGTACCATCATGTTAGGGTTAATCAGTCTGAATGCATCAATTACAACCTGTAATAAATAGAAGCTAATCACATTATACTGTTCATTTAAACATTATGTCAAGAAAGTGACAACACATCAGGAAATAAAAAGAAATGATAAACATAATTCCAGTTTTATAAGGAACCACAAGTTTAATTCCTTCACGACTATCAATAATTTTTTGAGAATATAAAAAGACAGATGTTTTGTTTCACATGATTTGACTACACAAAGGATGGTGTACCTTTCCCTTGACGCTCTGAATCGGGTCCACCACTACTGCTACAGCCCTCTCAGACAACGCTTCAAAGCTCTGCTGAGTGTTGATGTCAACTCCTGACAACCAGCACCCAAATCCTGGGTGAGAGTGGTACCAACCAACAACCATTTCAGGCCTGGCAATGACAGAAAGATAAATATTTCCTTTGAATCATATAAATTAGAAAGTTTCCACCGTGTTACATTCAACTGTTTTGCAAGACTGTAAAGATAAATATAAATGATTTAATTTTTTAACTCTCCAAGCACAGGTGCAACAAAGTGTACAAATTCCAACTTTTTTACAGAGTTATATTCTAATTTATTTAAACTTTATTACCAATAAATATCATATCAAAACGTAGTTTATAATTAAAATTTTAATACAAGGTTTAATTTCAAATAAAAATATTTCAATAAATTCTTTATCTTCACTTTTCTGTACCATGTGACTCTTGTTTGCTACAAACTGCCCATTTTAGCTCCACTTTCCACCTCTATAAAATGTTCTAAGTTTACGAGAAACTGCACTCTTATATGCTAAATATTCTTGATCTAAAATGTAAATTTTTAACCTCAACACTTCTTGCTTTATAGACATATAAACTAGAAAGTCAAACCCACATGCCACAACCTTCCTAGGACATACTGTCTATCAAAAATGTCAATATTTGCTATTGGATTACTTTCAACCAATAGAAAGAGACAATTCCAATTTACTGAATGGGATGAGGCTACTAGATATTTATCTCATGAGTTAACTACTTCACCCCTGGTGGGTTGATTAGATGCATCTGTTGTATGGTTTATTTTACAAGATGCCAATCTCATGGGTTAACTACTTCACCCCTGGTGGGTTGATTAGATGCATCTGATGTATGGTTTATTTTACAATATGCCAATCTTATGAGTTAACTACTTCACTCCCTGGTGGGTTGATTAGATGCATCTGTTGTATGGTTATTTTACAAGATGCTAATCTCATGAGTTAACTACTTCACTCCCTGGTGGGTTGATTAGATGCATCTGTTGTATGGTTTATTTTACAAGATGCCAATCTCATGAGTTAACTACTTCACTCCCTGGTGGGTTGATTAGATGAAGCTGTTGTATGGTTTATTTTACAATATGCCAATGTCACGAGTTAACTACTTCACCCCTGGTGGGTTGATTAGATGCATCTGTTGTATGGTTTATTTTACAAGATGCCAATCTCATGAGTTAACTACTTCACTCCCTGGTGGGTTGATTAGATGAAGCTGTTATTTTATTCGACTGCAAAATAAGAAAAACTACTGGATGAAATAGTTTGAAATTTCAGAATTACAAATTATTTAGCTTCTGACAATAAAATATCTCATTCTTATTTATAAGAATTCACAGCTCTGAAAATTGAAAATCTTTTATTGTGGTATATTGTTTTTTAAAGAAACAATTAAAAATGTTTACCTTTGCTGTACATTTTAATTACTGATTTTTATATCTTCCTCTTTTCTTTTAAAATTTTCCTATAAAGTTTTTTACTTTATAAAACTGTAATTGTTTTCTTTTGACTTGAAAAACACTGCACACAATTTCATTGTATTTATGATCACTGTCATACAATAAAAATAACATTTTTTCATCATACCAGTATTGTAAGCAATGACATGTTTAAATTGTTAATCAGAAGGTTTCATTTAATATATGTACTAAATTTCTAATCTGATTTATATCATTATTTTTTACATTTACTTTTGGCGATTTTCTCAGCCTGTTCAATCGGTTACATGGGAGCTACTCATAAGACCACAGATCATGTATATTAACAAAGTAGGTAAGCACACATGAATAAGAAGTTATATTGTACTAAACATGCTGGAGAACAGACCTTAGGAGTTGTTTCATAGTACTGTACAAAGTAATCCAAAATAGCCACTAAAGTTAACCAAGGTGCTGGGAAACATACACACAACATTTGAGTTGCCTCATTAGTACCGTACAAAGTAACCTCTAAAGTTAACTTTAGGTGTCATTTACATATTATAACTGTCACTAGACAAGGACCTCAGTGTTTACTGTTCAGTAGGACAATAGATTTCCAGTTTGGTAGAGTGAGGGGTAACTTTAGGTGTCATCTATGTGTTACAACTGTCACTACACAAGGACCTCAGTGTTTACTGTTCAGTAGGACAATAGATTTCCAGTTTGGTAGAGTGAGGGGTAACTTTAGGTGCCATCTATGTGTTACAACTGTCACTTCACAAGATCCTCAGTGTTTACTGTTCAGTAAAACAATAGATTTCCAGTTTGGTAGAGTGAGGGGTAACTTTAGGTGTCATCTATGTGTTACAACTGTCACTACACAAGGACCTCAGTGTTTACTGTTCAGTAGGACAATAGATTTCCAGTTTGGTAGAGTGAGGGGTAACTTTAGGTGTCATCTATGTGTTACAACTGTCACTACACAAGGACCTCAGTGTTTACT